CATTTCTCAGACTGGGGAAGATTAGTGTGGGAAGAAAAAGCTTAGTTTGATCACAGTTTGAACTGTGTGACTGAATGGATTTGTCATGCTTGAATGTGTCACTAGTTCAGGCCATAGATGTCTTGAAAACAGTGATGACAATATTCAAATGGCTTACTTACATTTTATTACATTTACTCCACAGTTTCAGGGTTATATTTGCATAAACCTGAAATACACATAAATAGTTAGAGGTAGATAAAGGCTGAAAAATTCAAAAAACACTTTGGGCTCAAGCCTGTTGGAAAAAATGGACATCGCTCCCTCTCTTTCCATGTTTTCTTTCACTCCGTACTGTCAATTATCTAAAAGGCAAAAAAGTCTCTGTGTATTAGTCCATAAATTATATATTTTGAGTGACTCAGCATCTCTTGCTACCAATATTATTTTTTTCAGCTAAGAAAGGTTGAATGACTAAGTTACTTTTGAAACTTTATGGTAGTGTTTATATTTCTATTACTTCTATTACTGCTATAATGACCTTTTTCACAACATACATTTGGACTTATCCTGGTAGGAAAAGCCCAGTTGTTACTAATAACATTAACAATGGCTCTGTTCTATTCAAGTTAAAGTGAACCAGCATGCACGACAGACAATGAAACAGAAACTTATCATTGATAACACCTGTGTTTACCCTATTATTTCATGTCAAAATGACTGCTGTGAAAAGGTCTATGAAACTGAAGCAGCTAAATAGACTTAAGCCATTGTTATTTTTATTTACACCTGTGCATTCCTGCTGTGACATGTCAAAACGTGTGGCTGTGCACAATATGTAAGTCTTTGTTTAAACTGGCTTTGGCCTTCAGTTTAAAAGCCTGGTGTGAGGGAACTAAGAATAAGGTCAGTGTCAGTCAGGTTGATGCTGGCAGTAATGATGTATAAAAATATAAAAAAAACTTAGCCCATAACTCTCGGAAAAATGGACAATGTCACCCCACAACTCTGCACACAAATATAGTATATGAAATCCAGCTAATCTTCTAAATCCAAGATTCGCCATTCATTTAAAGTATACATGATTCCAGCTGGCATCTTTAGTGAGGTCCTCAAAAGATATTTTACATAACTCTAACAAGGTTCATTCTGGAATCCCATGGTCAATGATTCATACCCTTAAACTGCAACATCCTGGGTTCAGATCAGGACTTGTCAACCAAGCAAATATTATTTTATGTATATTTTCTGATCTTCCGTGGTAATGGCAAGAATAGCAATATCTTTATTAAAGTGAATAAGTGATGAATCACCCTAATTTACAAATCATACATCAATAGAAGCTTAAGCATAATCCATGATGATAGAGATACAAAAAAAACAAAAAAAAAAACAGAAATGCATGGGAAAAACAGCATATTGTCAATACGACCGCCCAAAATTTCACAAATCATGTTTTCAGGGGAGCTCATTTATTAAGAGGAGCCAAGCCCCCGCTGGCTCCCCCGTAGTTCACACCCTGCCTTTCCTGGTATGACAAACTTGAACTTCTGCTGTGGGTTCGTCTGTGAGCTTAAATTAGGGTTGAACTGAATAATTTAATAATTTAATAATTTCATTATGTTCAATATTATTTACTCAGTTCATTAAATGTGTATGTATTGGTAGAAATGGAATATGTAATAATAATACTAATAATAATATTAGTATTATTATTATAATTAATGTATAATTACCTGAAAATAAGAATCATTGTGTTTTTGTTAGCTTAGAATGAGCTGTCTTTTTCTACAGAGAGGGTCCTCTTCTACGGCCATGTTGAACTGCCATGTTTCTACAGTAGCCCAAAACAGACAAACCAAACTTTTGCAAGTTTCGCGGCCACTGTAGGCCACTCCTACATGCTTGGAAGGTGAGCGGTGTTCAGTTGGTTGCAATCTACAACTTCGCTGCAAGATGTCACAAAATCCTACACGCTCTCCTTTAAGACCTTAGGATGTCCTCCATAATGTGTAATGGCTGTTTCAAACAGAGGTGAAAGAACCAGACAGACAAAGTTACTTTTAACGCACATCTGGTTTTTGCAGTTCTGTTATCTCTTAGGATTTGTTTACATTGCATTTTGTTGGTGTGGTATTACTTATCTGTAACCAACAGCCTGTTTAACTATCTGGTCTCCTGAATAAAGTAGCACACTGGTGCACTGCTGCCAAGAACAAGATGCTTAAGTATGAAGTATTGGAAGGACCAGTGTGTAGGATTTAGTGGTATGTAGTGGTTAAGTAGCATATTGCAACCAATTGAATACTGCTCGCCTTCTAAGTGTGTAGGAGAAACTATGGTGGCTCACGAAAAAAGCCAAAGGCCCTATCTAGAGCCAGTGTTTGGTTCGTCCGTTCTAGGCTACTGTAGAAACATGGCAGTTTAACATGGAAAAAAAACTGGCTCAACGAAAACACAACAATTCTTATATTTAGGCGATTATACACTAATGAAAACATACCTATGAATATTATATTTATGTATAATTTTTTTTTTCCTGAAAAACCTGATGTATACAATCAGACACATACAGTGCACGGATAATCCACCAGGGATCAGTAATTCATGCACCAGAGGAGCAGCAAAATAAAGAGGTTCTGAAACCAAAAAATGAACCAAACTGTGAAACGTTCCTCTTCCACCATGCCGGTTCCACTGGTGGGTTTGTCATTGAGGGTAATAGCTTTATTTCAGCAGATACAGAATATGTATGACGTTGTTGTGCAATATGGAAAAATACTAGGGATGCTCGATATTGGCTTTTCTGCCGATATCTGATATTCCGATATTGTCCAACTCTCAATTCCGTACCGATGATCACCCGATACCGCATATATGCCAGCTTTTTACACCGAAAACTTTAGTAACAACATAGTTCCTACCGATTTACTGGACATAAAACATCGATGCGCTAATTTTTATGTGTGGCTGACCCCGCACGGCGGATGCCATACATAAATGCAACATGGCTTTCCAAATGTTGAAACAGCTGGATTAACAGCTGGTGGTGCTGTGTATCTGATGTTTTCGTGCGGTTAAATATTAAAAATCATTCAGCGCTTGTAAAGTGTGTTGCCTTGTTGGAGCCACGGTCTAGCAAAGCCAACCAGCTAGGTGTTGTTGCTGGTGGTTATACGCTCATCGTAGCGTGCGCCCGGGTAAACCCGTCCCGCATGCTGCGTTCGAATCGAGGCCTCGGAAAATGCTGAAGCCTACAGAACAAACATCGGTTATAAAAACCCAATACCGATAATCCCCGATATTAAATTTTTTAGTGAATATCGGCCGATAATATCGGAGGGCCGATATTATTGGACATCCCTAAAAAATACTTCTTTTGTATGTTTGAAATTACTTGAGGAAAATTTTAAAGGAAACTCAAATGGGTTAAAAATGTTGTGTTTTATATGTTTTTGTTTGTTTAAGATGGTTAAATAAACAATCCAGTTTCCAAAAAATTTTTTATTTTCTGGCAATTACTTCATGGTTCAGGCATTACAGGGTTAAAGGTAAGTTGTCACAGTTCCAAGGTCCATTAAGACCAACCATTATCCAAGAGTAAAAGACTGCATTGCCCCTTCATGATTATGTTATGTAATCTCATACTGTAAAAAAGCCAAAGGAAGACAATTAATTATTCTGTTTTCCACAAAAAAAAGAACTACTGATAGAGACCGAACAACAAACAAATAATCTTTTCAAGCAGAACTCAATGGAAACAATGAAAACAATTATCATTAAGTATGGCTGTTGGCCTTTATAAGTTTTACATGTCAGTTTTGGCAATTCTTTGATATAAGGCCATCCCATGTAGACAAAGGGAAATCAAACTTGACCAAACCATTTTGCTGATATGCAAATCAAGTTAATTTAGATGACAATAGCTTTCCCTCGTCTGCACATTCTGCATTTCGATATAAGCCACAACACAGCTGCAGCTGGGTGGGAGGCAAGCAATATCATTAACAATGGGGAAGGTAAGGAGCAAATGCTATTTTCCAAAGGTTTTCAAGCAACAATAGTGCATGCAAACTTTATTGTCATTTTAATGGAAGCTAGGCACAACAATATGCTATTGTTCTGTTTCCTACAATGTTGGGATGGTAGTTTACCAGGATTTGCCTGTTTTCTTCCATGCAGATTGTATTCTTCGAGGATAAGAATTTCCAAGGCCGAAGCTATGAGTGCTGCACTGACTGCTCTGACCTGCGATCTTACTTCAGCTGCTGCAACTCCATTAAGGTGGAGAGTGGCTGCTGGGTGTTGTACGAGCGTCCCAACTTCACTGGCAACCAGTATATCCTGAGCCCCGGGGAATACCCTGATCCACAACAGTGGATGGGATTCAATGATAGCATCTTGTCATGTCGCTCTATCAAAAATGTAAGGTCAACAACCTGTAGATACTTTTTAGAACGTGATTATTTGAAAGTCATCCTTTAGTAGAGATGGTCTTACTATTGTTAATGCACCAGTTTCTTTAAGCTGGGATAAGCTTACTACACCAATCTATGGAATAGGTCAATCATAATAAAGTCAAACTGGGTAGTGCTTTTCATAAAATTAGGTACACAGCATGATTTCTGGGTTAATTTTTTGCAGGAGAGTGTCCAGGTCCTGTGAAATACCACAGAGTGCACCAACCAAGCAGTAATCAGTCAAAGGCCGACAGACAAAAAGGAGATAAAAGGCTCATGATTTGGCAGCAGGGTGCACATCAATTATTGAAGTAAACTAGGATAACAGCCAAGAAACCCATTTGTAGATGTGAAGTCAAAATTAATGAGGGAACAAAAATAGATTAGAATATATTGTCAAAAGATTCAGATACTAAATACTAACATAATTTAAACAACTTTAATTCTCCAACTACCCCTAGGTTTTTGGAAAGTCCTGGAAGATCAGATTCTACGACAAGCAGGATTTCGGAGGCCAAGTGGCAGAGTGTGTTGCCGATTGCCCATCGGTTTACGAGGCCCTCAAGTTCCGGGAGTTCCACTCCTGCGTAGTAATGGACGGTGCGTGGGTCCTCTACGAGCAGCCTAACTACCACGGGCACCAGTACTTCCTGGAGCGTGGCGAGTACCGCAACTATACAGACTGGGGAGCAGCCTCCCCTGCTGTGGGATCCTTCCGCATGATCACAGAGTTCTAGAATGGTAGCGGCCAGGCAGGGTTCTGCAGCCTCTAAGAGTTATCTGAATGCTAAGACCACCAAAGGTTTCGAATTTTAAAACAAATTCAAGCTCCTGAACTCTGAGAACATGCATTTTAGAACCCCTACAAGGTTTTAAAGGTCTAGCGTAACCAAAATGTTTCAATCTTTCAGAATCATGCCACTGAAGTTCTGTAATCTTGAGAAATTTCTCACCTCAAAAGTTCCAGAAGGCTAAGATTCAAGAACCCTTCAGCCTCCTAATTCCTTTTTTATTTGGACATCTATCCTAATCCGGAGAACTCTGTGTTGAATAAAAGTCTTTCTTACCCATAACAGTGCTGTCCGTATTCTTTCTTATTAAGTTACATGACACCTCAGCCTCACCTGACTTTAGTCTTGTTTTCAGTAAAACTGTTCAACACAAATTACATCTCAAGACAGACTGATGTCATGATCTGCGTGTCATGCTCTTTCTCTCACTCTTCAGCTGTCACTGTCAATTAAAAAAACAGACCATGTTGCAAATTGAACATGCAATAAAATAAAAACAAATTCAGAACTATATTTCAATTTTATATGAAAATAGGGGACTTAAATGATTGTTTACTTGTTTACCTACTTATTATATATAATTTGATATGGTATTATCACAACTTTTAAGCACAATTGATGGCAAAACTGTTTGTAACACAATCTTGAACTATTCACATTAATTATTTCTGAATAAGACATAAAATTGTCTTAAATAGCAAAGACTCTTTGATTTCACAGTGAATATTGAATATTCCAGAGTGGAGTACATTGAGGTGCTTAAGGATGTCAAGTATCCACTATAACTGACAATAGTGGTCTGTTTAACTGTAAGTTCATATTTAACATCATATAACATCAGCAACTGTCAGGCATACTTTTGGTTGCTCAGACTGATAGATTGCCTTTTTTTTTTACAGTGCAAATATTCCATGACTTATCACTTTCTAAATTGGCCAAAACTGAGTAAAACCCATAAACAAGGATTTAGAATATTAATTTAGCATCTATATATTATATGTATGTATATGTATTTAGAGATTGCACAAAAATACAGTTGTGCATTTATTATTATTATTTATATTTACTTTTCCTGGATTGTATTCAAATGGTCTTTGGTCACTCTATATCAGGGTGACCTCCCTTTCGTGTTGGGCAGGGGAGGGACCGGGCCGTTTGAAACAGTTTAGAATAAAATGTCATTTGTTGTATAACTGATGTGCATTTTACAAAATAATGTCATAAGAAATAATAATAAAATTAAAATTAAAATGTAAGAGTGGGTTTGTCACAATCATCCTGTCAACACCATCATCAATATTAAACCCCAAACTGCCTTCAAAGCTAAATGTTTGCACATGACATTGCAAACAATAGTTCAACATAAAAGATGTCAAGTTCCACCACATGCCAAAGGGTTCTTTTGTAGAATTAGCGAAGAAAAGCGTAATTTGAAGTTTCTATAAATGTAATATAGAACAAAACTGAATCTAATTAATGGACAATTTTATTTTTAGTCTTTCGATAAGTTTGTGTTAGCCCTGTCAGAAAATTGTATTAAAACAAAAAATTTATTGCAACGGTCCAGATCAGTTTGGATAGAGCAGTGAGTGAGGTTTAGATACTTGGCACTGCTAAACAACCATTGTGTGTGGAAAGGCAATTCAGTAAGTAAGAACAATGGGCAGACTCTAGATGAATATTTGAATTGTAATAACTGTTACATGCTCTGCTAACCCTGCATTTGTTAGTATTGTCTCCGCCATGTATAAAGAGTTCTGGGTTTGTTATGGCATCTAGTATTTTAAGCGCAGCAGATGGAGAAGGTCAGATCTTGCACTAGAAGTTAGATGTTTTGTCATTGAAATATTAAATATGTGCAAACACAGGTGCAGATAAAATCCTCTTTTAATTTTTTGTCCTGTTATCTCTACTTTTTCCAGATTGTGTTCTACGAGGACCGGGACTTCCAGGGAAAGTCCTATGACTGCAAAGGGGACTCAGTTGACCTGCATGGCTTCATTCACCGATGCAACTCGGTCAAGGTAGAAGGTGGCTGGTGGGTTCTGTACGAGCGTAACAACTATACGGGCTACCAGTATATCATTGGGCCAGGGGAGTACAATGACTACCGCCGCTGGATGGGCTTCAATGACTGTGTCAGATCCTGTAGGATCATCAAAAACGTAAGTCATTGAACAAAAAGGATCGGGAAAAACTAAACACTGTATTCCACAGACATTAAATTTAACACATTTCTCTGTTTTGGTTTTAGGCCAAAGGGCCATACAAGCTGAAACTGTTTGACCGGCCAGATTTTGAAGGCAAATCTTTGGAGCTGACGGAAAACATGAAGTCTGTCCATGAGAAATGGCTCAGACCTGAAGTCCAGTCCTGCAAGGTCGTAGAGGGCTCCTGGGTTTTCTTTGAACATCCCAACTTCTGTGGTCGCCAGTACCTGCTGGAGAAAGGGGAGTACCGAAACCACTCAGTGTGGGGAGCTCTGAAAGCAAGCGTGGGCTCCATCAGGAGACTTGAGTTGTGAACTTCAACCGGTCAAAGCTTCTTGTAATGTAATGCACTGCAATAAATTTCTTTGATGCTAATGTGCCTGTGTGAAGTTCAATTAAAATCTTCTCTTATAATATACCAGTACATTCTACTTAAATGCAGGTTATGATGTTCAGTTTTAGTTAAAACTGTTTTAGAGATGTGCTTTATGGCCCTTCTGGAAAATGTAGTTTGTGATGCAGTTGGACTGTATTGCATTATGCTGGGGGCTGCTGAGGCCCTAATAAATATATATAAATATATTGTAGTTTATCAGAGCAGCTCATACAGATTATTTGGTAGAAAAAACTGAAAAAAAAACTGTACACATTGTACACAATTGCAAGATTTCTACCTAAACAAACAATGGAACAACTGACAACGTTACTTTAAATGGCATTTCTGGTGTCAAATCTTATAATTTATTTTATGTAACAGCATCAGGCAGACAATTTAGAGAACAAAAGAAACCATAAACTATTTTTTCATTCATTAGAGAAGCTGAAATCATATATATCAAAAATAGTTGGCGGTTAATTGAATCAATCAATCAATTAACTGACTAATTGTTGCAGCTCTACCTACAACATGTCAACACACAAACTCACAATTAGAAGTATAACAAATCTTCAAAGAGCTAAAGGATTGCTGCCACAACTGAAGCCAGAGCAATGGTGAGACTTATGTATTTGTTATTATATCAATGCAACTAATCATTGTTTTCTTTATTAATAAATCTGACAATTATTCTCTCAGTTAACTGTAAAAGGTTTGACCTATAAAATGTTAGAAAGTCCTAGTACCCAAAGTAACACCTTCAAAATTAGCCCAAAACTCCAATATATTAACTTTTCTGTAATGTAAGGCAAAAAAGCAAGGCAAGTTTCAGCTCTACTTTTGCAGTCAGGTCATCAATCTGACAATACTGCTGCAGCAAGAATAAAGTCCTCCATTTTTGTACACTTTGAGTAATAATTCCTGCTGTCCAATTGCTGTAAACACATTAGGCAGCTGATATAATTACATGATAATGAGGCTTCTATCCACCAGGTTTTTCAGAGCTGGTCTGAGAGCAGTCAGCTGACTGAGGGCGGAGCGTGAATGCACCTCTATACAGGCGTTACAGCCTGTACCGCAGCACTATGTGGCCGTAAGCCAACTTCACCACACCAGCCTAAACTGAAGAGAAGACAGTTTAATTGGATCAATAAATCATTTCTGGAATCACGCAGACACATCAAAATGTCAACCGTTGCAATAGTGAGTAAACAACGTATAAAGCCAAGCATTTTTAAAACAATGGCAGCATCAGCCATTGTGCAGACATAAATGCTGAGGCCATTAAAATGACAATGATGGTTCCTGGCAGTGCATTTCAGTGTGCCCACATACACTGTATATATAAATCTGGACCAGGCCTGTAGAAAATATTGTGTGTGTGAAAGGTGTGATTGACTGAAACTTATCAAAGGTTGGTGTGAGGCCCAAACATGGATCTTGTGGGAAAGGTAGGCTGCATTATTAGATTGTTGAAGAAGTCAAAACTTCAGCATCACTTATAGTATAAATAACGACTTTACCTTCTAATGAATGATGGGACTTTCAGCTCTTTTAGTGATCCAGATCATTTGGCTCAGCTCAGTAAGAGTTGGCTCTTTTGGCTCCCAAAGTGCTCTCCATTTAGTAAAACTTCTGGCTTATAAGTCAACCAAATTCAACAATATTTTGAAATATCACTTAAATTATTCGATACAATCACACTAAACCTTATAATTTGCAGAATATTTATATTATGATTGGTTTAAAACCTTGAATAATGTAAATGCATCACTATTACACATGTGTATTGAATGTTTTATTTACATTGAACAATTGTTTGTATGTTGGCATCTCACCCTGCTTGGGTGTCAATGTTATTATCAAAGTCAGACATTTCTGGATTGTATTTATTATATTTGTATTTAGTTGCTTGATTTGTTCCACATAGTCATCAGGTGTGCACATTAGCATGTAGATCACTGTTATTACCAAGCACTAAATGATTCTGGATGCCGTACAAGCTAGGGGTTAGCACATATATGGCCAGTATATTATGCAATATCCACTGAATGCTTATTGTCCTTTTCCAGATCCGGTTTTATGAAGACAAAAACTTCCAAGGTCGGTATTATGAGTGCAACACTGACTGTCCCGAGCTTAACACCTACTTTAGCCACTGCAACTCTGTTCGTGTGGACAGCGGGGCCTGGGTTCTGTACGAGAGGCCCAACTACCTGGGCTACCAGTACATTCTGACCAAGGGGGAGTTCCCTGATTACTACCACTGGATGGGTTACAATGACAGCATCAGGTCCTGCCGGATCATACGAAACGTGAGTTACTTCAGAAAACATATCAGAAGCTTTAAATGCTAGAAAGTGTGATGTACTAGAGTGATGCAATACCATGAACAGTATAATTCCAGCATTCGCCTTGTCAGTTGTTCTGCTTTTATTCACATGCACCTGACACATTTATCAGCTAAATCATAAATTATAAGTTACTACATGATATGAACTACTTGTATCAGGCTGTACTTCTGCTGTTGCCAGAGGATACAATACAGGATAACAATAACATTTATATATTGGTTCAGCTAAACCAATTAATTTAAGTGTTAGAAATGTAGAGAGAGAACACAGGAGAATAAATTGTTAACTAAAAATTGATGGACTAAAAAGTTATTTTTCTTCTTTAACTTTTTTATTAACTTTTTAGTCTTTTTATACATTTTTAATGAATATGCATGTATTTGTCACAGTGTTTGACAAGGTATATACTATGTATCTATTAATAATTAACCAAAAGAAATGCATAAACAGTAATGGATAAATACTCAGAACTCCTGATTTTGCCACTCACTGTTGTTGTTGTACGAATGCAAAACATTGACGGTTTAATTGTATGAAAATATTATAACATCCAATATTATATATAATAATACATAACTGGTGGTGTTGATGACTTGAGTTCATGGCTATGTTTAGGCATTCATCACTTGGTGTAGGTTAGGGAAAGTTTCTGGTCTTGGTTCAATATTGAAAAAGTTAAAAATGACTTGGAGGAAGAGACTTTATCAACAAAGTGCTTTTGTTGCCTAAACTTGGTAACACACAGGACTCAGGATGTGAGCCCCAGTCTTGGGGCTTAAAGGTTATGTCACAGTCAGGTCATACATACGGAAGCCGAGAACGGCCTTTTTTTTTTTTATGCACCTGTTATATCGTGATAACGACTTATTATCTTGTTATCCAATATAACAAAGATGGTTTTCTTGAGATAACTATATTAATATTAATATGTGTTCGTCTTGATTTCAACCATACAAAGCTGCCACAACGGCTTCCAGTCAAGTAAACGAACAACGTAAAGTGTAATTTACCGTTTGTGCCTACAAGCTACCAGCCAGTGGCTACGTTCGTGGCAACTCTTGTACCAAAGTTTGTTATCTCGAGATAACAAAGTTTGTTTTCTCGAGATAACGAACAGTGCATAAAAAAAAAAAATCCATGGCCATTCTCGGCTTCCGTACATACATATCAAGGTTATTGTATTGACGAGGTTGCCGACTTGCTGTAATTCTTTCCCATTTTTTGAAAGCTCCGACATTTACAACTTGGAGATTCATAATACAGAAATGCCTGAAAACCAAGCAATGGAATTAAACCATATTAAAAATATTAATGCACAGTATTATTAACTCTCACATGCGCAACTTTGCATTAACACAACTGAATGTGGCATAATATTCTCTGCTTTGTACTGTATGTCTGTACCACCACCTCCAACAATCCTTGGCCAGATATGAACTGAACTCCCGGTCTTTGTGTTGCAGATATCTGGTGTGTTCAGGATTCGTGTCTACGAGCGCCCTAACTTTAGCGGTCAGAAGTTTGAGTCCACTGAAGATGTTAGCAACCTGCCCGACCGCTGGCAGCTCCGCGATGTTCACTCTGCTCAGGTGCAGGACGGTGCCTGGGTCTTCTACGAGCTTCCCAACTACCGCGGACGCCAGTACCTGCTGGAGAGAGGAGAGTACCGTCGCTACAATGAGTGGGCAGCCGTGAACCCCAGTGTGGGGTCCTTCCAACGCGTCTGCAGCGATTAAACTGTCTCTCTTTTGGTTTGTGTAACTGTTCTTTGGAAGTGTAATAAAGAATGACTGTGCTCACTATGCTCATCACTCCATGTTTTGTTGGTAGTGAGAGATGGTAGAAAATGCAAAGAACTTCTCAGCCAATAGACCTTTTTCACAGCAGCCATATTGACATGAAATAGTAGGGTAAACACAGGTGTTACCAATGATGCTAATTAAGGTTCCATTCCATTCAGGTCAAACAAAGTCAGAATGCTACTATTGTACATGTTGGCACACTGGAAAACCTCTGCTAGACTAAATGGAATGGAACCTTAATTGGTGTAATTGGTATAACACTGTACTATTTCATTTCAAAATAGCTGCCTATTAAAAAAATCAGGCAACAGAAAGTCTGAATCTCTCCCAGTATAATCATTTAGACTGCACAACCACATGTGCAACTCTGTACCAATCCTGGTTTTTGAAAAACCACAGTGGTACTGATAGGATTCAATTCTCCGAAGGGCCTGGGTACTACGGTGGATTCCCCAGCTGGAGCTTCCCTAGGATGCAGCGGCATCTGGAGAAACTGAAGAATTCAAGTTTCATTCAATATCTTTACCTTTTATTACTTAAACCTTTAAACATATCTTGTTGGTGGTCTGGTCCTTGTGTGTGAAAAATTAAGCTGTAGAAATCAATGAATACAGCCGCACCGGCCACAGAGATATAGCTGAGAAATTTTATTTGTGACTAAAGGGTTTGAATGGTTCCTCACACACAACTACCGTATATGATCAGTCAGATAAAGCATCATTTGACTGTGTGTTCTGTAACCTGAGTTGGAAAATCATAGGAATAGCTGTCCCATATGTTTGGTTGCTAAATGTTGAAGTTAATGTTTAGAATAAATATATGTACATTCATTGTTTCAACTGATAATTCCCAGTGGCGCAAAATTAGCCATTGTTGTGTTATGGGCACATATATGAGAACCAACATTTGCACACTGTTACACAAGCTTAGCTTAGACCTAGCCGGGATACTAGGAGCAAGTGGTGAGATACATCTCTAATTGTAGCATTAATAAAAAGATGCATAATGGTATTAATTAAAACAAACTGTTGCACAAACAGTGGCATGGATGTAGGCAGAAATTACTTCTCCTCTGTCAGTAAATAAATACAGCTAACACTAGGACTGCCCTGATATCCGCAATAAAAAGCAGCAACAAATGCCTTTAAGGAAGTTACTGAACATGTTTTCTACTGTTTCTGTATTTACAGTAGACATAAAGTCTACAAACCCCTATGAGAGGTTGGCAGGTTTTCTGAAATGTAAATACAGAGGTATCAACAACATAAATTCCAGACATGGTCCATCTTTAATATGAGCTTATAACAACAAAAATGTAGAGAAAAAAACAAATAGTTAATTACAGACCCTGTCTACTAGAGATTTTGACTCGTCAAAGCAGGAAAAGCCCAGGTGGAATTAATGACATAAATGATGGCTGCATTACATTTAGGTGAGCTGGTTCCATTTCCCAGTTTGTACATCCTCGATTCCTCTCCTCGTATCATATTTCCCACATTTTTTTCCTTTTTTTTGGTCGCCTTAACTTGCTATTCGCTAGAGGAGGACCATTTCAATTATTACTATTTCTCAGTAAAATAAGTGCTGGTTGGTGGATTAAATATATGCCCAATTAAAAACAGACTCATAACACTTTTAATTCACTGTCTAATATGTGTGTTTGATGGTATTTGAGGAGTTTTGCCGTTACCATAGTAACCAGCTGTATTAAGGTGAAATGATATCAGGGATTTGGTTAGAACAGCACTTGACGATGTGCTACATCAACAGTGAAGAGCAGAAAGTTCGATTTCGCACAATATCAACAAACAATACAACTACATCTGTAGAGTACTCCTACCATGGTTTGTATATTCCAGCTGCGTGTCACGCCTTTTTTATGTGTCGAAAACATTCAAAAGACTTTTGCATTGGATACACCTGTATATCCTCACTCATAGCTCCTCCAGCAAGCCTCCTCTCTCTTCCGTCCTGTCTCCTCCAGATGCAGTTTAGGAATTTAGTGCATTCAAATGATGTTCTGAGATTCAGTTCCAGGTCACAGGCAGGAGGACGAGGGAGAAAGGAGATGAGGAGGCACAAATCAGAGAAATGAGAAAGGCCCCTAGTACCATTTTGCATCATGATAATACAATAGGTGTTTTCCCACTAGGAGCTTGGGCCCTCCAAGGAAAAACATTTGGGCATAAAATATTCAACCTTATAATACAAAATTACAAGGCCTTAACATCAAATGAGTTGCATTTGTGTAATGATGTGCTCTTGATGTGCATGCTGTACATTTCAGCATGTGTTGCTCCTCCTCTGCCTGGTCTTCATCCTGTACGTATCCCACACTGACTGACCCTGAGCATCAGTCCTATGACACAGAGCTAATAGGAGTGCAGGAGGGCGGTCACAGCTCAGCTAAACCTGTGGACAAAGAGGTGCGGCTTGCTGATGACTCAGTGGGATTTGCCAGTAAGAGCCTGGAGCATGCCAGCTGCTGTTAGTGCTGACGCTCAGCTCACTGGAACAACGCTGTGACCCCGACAACACAAAGGGAGTCCAGCCAGCACGTTCTCCCAGCTGCGGTTATTCACCTCTAAAGCCTCTTTGTTTACCGCAACCCCTGATGCTTTCAGTGGCTCACAGGAGAGAGAGAGTGAGGTGGTATCAGACTGAGTTACACCTCACTTCGAGCCAGTGTGCACCCTCTTGTGGATGATGTTTGGAGCTGCAGTCCAGATAGTTTTGTGTACTTTTTGGTCTGGGGCTTTTTCATATTTGGACTTCTTCTTTATGAAATCTTTAGAGTAATTAACTAACAACAGTAAACAACAGTTTTAGTGTGCTTCCAATGCCCTCATACACAAATCCTGTTCCATGAAGAAATAGAATAGAAATTTCCCACTTTGGTGTAAAGAAACTTGACTGGCCTGCATAGAGCCCCGACCCCAACCTCATCCATCATCCATCATCCATCATCTTCCACTGTGAGCTGTGCCTTATCATCCAACATCAGTGTTAGACCTAACCAATGTTCTTATGTCTGAATGGGACTGAATGCAAAATCATGTTTACAGTCTTTACAGAATAGCGGAGACTGTTATAGAAGCACACATAAGGCTGCAATGTAGTGGGTTTACCCTAGAAATGTGTCAAATTGAAGTATGCTTAAAAATCAGTCAGTATGCATGCTTATTTTGGTCAATTTTTGAGTGCACTAGTAA